ATGATTGTGTCATCTACCGCAAAATAACCAACACTTTTGATCAAGCAGCACTACAGAATGACCTTAATGAAGTATTAAACTGGTGTGACCATTGGCTTATGACCCTTAATCCTAACAAATGCAAAATAGTTTCCTTCCACCGCCGCAAAAACCCACTCCAATTTTCCTATGAAATTGCTAACATGCCAGACGAAACAGCCGTATCCTATAAGTATCTTGGTGTAACATTAACCCCTGATCATTCCTGGCGAACGCATATCACTAACATGATTTCATCAGCCAACCGATCATTAGGATTTCTAAAACGTCACCTACGTCACTCACCTTATCACGTTCGTCTTGTGGCCTATCAGTCGCTAATCCGGTCCAAACTAGAATACGCATCACCCATCTGGAGCCCTCACCAAGTTTATCTGATCAACGCTATCGAAGCAGTTTAAAATCGTGCCGCTCGCTTCATTCATTCTTCTTATTCTTACGATGTCAGTGTTTCATCCCTTAAAAATGAATCCGGTCTATTAAGTCTTTCTCTTTGCCGCAGAATTGCTACGTTGTCACTGTACCACAAGTTGTATCACAGCTCACTCCATTAACCACCTTACATCGCTCCCGCCGCACGCATTTCTCCCCGCACTGGCCATCCACTTCAAGTCTTCCGACCCCGATCTGGCACTCAACATTTTCTGCATCATTTCTCTGCCGCGCCGCCAAAGAATGGAATGACCTTCCCCACGATGTTGTTTCAATCACCTCTTCATCACGTTTTATTCAAAGTGTGTCAATGCATCTGCAATGTTAACCTGTGGCTTTTGTATCTTTGTTGTACAACCCACCCCTTATGTAACACCCCCCCTGTGGGGTCTTTAAGGAAATAAAGTGAAAGTGAAAGTGAAAGGTAAAAAGACGTGCTGTGGCAACAAAGAAAATTGGTATACGAAAAGAAGTGATCGAAAACATCGCAGAGCTTTATGAAGGCTTTTTTTTGTCTTTTGAAACGCACGGTGACACAATAGCAAGTAACCTACCCTACAACCACGTTTACGCACAAATATCACTAAACAATACACATACGTAGGACAGATACAGCAATAGCCCTCAGGTATGTGCCTGAGGGAAGAGTAATAGCAGAAACACATTAGACGCTCAATGTAGAAAACACACGAGACACACGAGCGCTGACTATCAACACCTTTTTCTTTGATTGTCAGTGCAGTAATAATCAGAAGCCAGAATCAGCACGCACATCTGGTTTTAGAAGCTAGTATGTGAACAGGTCGTCTTAAAATCAGCGATGCTCTTTGTTCCTGCAGTCATCTGAATATGAATTCCTGTCTACACGTCTCTGATACACTGATATCACCCCTGCTTCACTTTTGCTTAAAGTTACGGTTCTGTGCGCATGTGCGGTGATGCTGCCTTGGGCGGTATACGGGCACTGATAACAGAAGTAATAAAGCACTTGATAGTCAGTGCTCTTGTGAGTCATGGCTATCCTATGTGGGACTTTTGTTTTGGCATGGTATGTTTTAATTTAGGAAAATGGACCAACTAGTACAAAGTGAAGTGTCGTTGCTGCACATACAATGAGCGACAAGCATGCATACGTGGCCGAGACAGAGACCATTTCAGTTCACCTGGGCAAAAATAAAAATTATGCTACGAAACAAACATTCACTTGTTTGACGGTTACAAAAACTATCACATTTCCCCTTGACACATAACTATACAAGGAAAGCCCTAACGACTCGGTGGAATCATTTCTCGTGGGCTATATACAGACACAACATGAGTTGGGACAATTCCGCGTTGGCAATCATTCACAGCAATCACCACATAACACTCACAATGATGGACCAGATCATTTACAGTGAGACACGCTTCTAGAGAGAAATTATACCCTCGCTAGGCTGCGGTGAAGTAAGGCGACCGAAAATGACAGCTTCAGGAAGCTCATCCGGCCATCAGGACACGGTTATGCAGCTATAATCGAAGGAATTAAGGCAACGTATTCTGCGTGTGGTGCGTGATGGATGCAATACATGCAGTACAGTAGGAAATTACCACGATCATGCTTTTGTTACAGTGAAGTAAGCTGCTAGAAAACAACCTAAATATGGAGTGTAATAATGAAGAGGAGGTTTACTTCATACAATGGGCAAGCACACATGTTACGCAACAAAATTACACGACCTACAATTTTCACGCTAACCGCACGACAATATAGGGCGTTTTCTTGGGTAAACTGACCAAAAAAGGAAGGGTTGACTTAAGGAGGCATATGTGCCTCTTTGTATCACAAGTATAAACTTGAGCAATACTTTACTTTTCCTGTAGGCCATGTCTACTTTTCGTGACATTTGTAGTTATTTATATGCGATGTTCCAAGCTGAATACCCCGGTAATTCGGTTGCTGTCTTACGCTGTCCCATACTTCCATGCTGCTGTTGCATAAATGAAAGCTGTGTAAGCTACTATATTGGACTATCACTGGTAATTGAGCTGTTCGATACCGGGGAGTGTTACGAAAGGTCTTCAGCACGTTCGGCGTCTCTGCCTTACGCATGCAGAAAACAGAAGCTCCGGAATATAAATATTAAGGCTTCTTGCTGTGAGCCTGCTTCCCTGCCATTTAATTTTCAATGACCCCAATACATTGCAATAAGTGCGAAAAGTATGTCAACGACGATTTCTAAAAAACACATGTAAAACAATCGCTACTATTGCAAAACCTTTCCCAGCCAAACAGCACTATCACATGGCAAAAAAAAAGGTGTGTGTCCAGGCACGGGCACGCGACAAACCACGAAAATCAAAAGACCACAAACACCGCGCTTGTGTTGTGTCAATCTGACATTTTGTGTCCATACCTATACGCCTGCCTTTTTAGCATGCATTTGCGCCGGATAACTTTACTTCTTTAACTTTAAGCACAATAGCCCAATACCTAGTCCCCTCTATCCCCTAAAAACCTGAAGAAAACAAAACTTGTAATTTGCAGCAGTACACATCTTTAGTTATGCATTTCAAGACTCTTCCCGCAGCATTTGCAGACACCTTGTGACCCACACAAGCACACTCAATCATACGCGTTCAGAATCGCGATGGCGACTTCGCTCATTTCAATTCGCGACATTTCCTCGCATGCATCAATTGTTGCATTCCGACTTGGCTTAAAGGTGTACTGGCACCTTTCTTCAGAGGCGAGTTTACCCTACCATACTAATCTCCTGTATAAAGAGACGGCACTGAACAACTGTGGCACTAAGCAAATGCTGGTAGGATACCTTATTTTATTCTTAAAATGAAATCTCTCGCGGCACACCTACCAACATTAGCACTAACATGACGTCAGGCTACAGTACTAATTTTGCTGACTTCACGCAGTAGTCTGGCAAATTGCGATGACGTCAGGCACCAAAATACAAAAATGACACTTGTGCGCATGCCTCTCGAACGGGTGCTCGGGCAGTGCGGTCATTGTCATCCAGTATACTTGTCAATTAGCTAGCGAAGCCTGGAATAGTGTATGTGCACGCGAATGCGAGATATATGCTTAGCAGAAAGCAAAGGAATCGTTTGTTTTCGAATTTGTTGTTATGGCGGCAATATTTTGCGATGTGAATTGTCTTGCGCAAGTGAAACAGGGGACAACAAGTGCAAGCTCCAGTACTTCCAGTCCAATCAGGCGCTGAGGCAAACTTGGGCCGACCTGGTGCATCACGGCCGAGGCGAGACTAGGACGCCAACCAAGCGGAACTTACTCTGTTCACTCTGGACGCATACACACACGACATGCAGTTGCCGACCAATTCGGATTGCAGACGGAAAACCTTCGCCTCAAAAAGCGCTTGACAAACTGGTGCGACTCGGCATTCGATTCGGCGTTCGACGGCGCACGCAGCGTACGACGTTTCACGACACATGAGAAGAACGAGCCTTCAGAGCACGGTCTCCGCCCACGTACGGCACCTTAGCTTGCACGCACGGAAGACTCTGTATCGTCTTTTTTACTAACCACTAAATAAGCAGCCTTACACAGTCATGCTTCTTGTCTACTAGGATTCGCTAACAAAGCCACGCCGTTGCGAGCACCAAACATCGCCACCGCCCAGAATCATTCTCAACACCGAGCGTATAGGCCTAGCAAGGCCGATGATCTCGGTAGTGGCGCTGGCTTTGCAACGTGAGCTCATTGTTGAGCACTTCTTTTTGCCAACACTATGTAAACTCTACAACTATAGGCTGATTTACATGTGCAACTAGTCTTCTAGATGTCCTCGATTTAAAGAGAAAAGGTGGAAACGATGTGGGCCGGTTCGCTGAGACGGTAGGTGCCACTGCTTGTTTGCCTGCGAAATGACATGCATATCATGGCTCGATATCTCGTTGGTTCCTCGGAAACGGACGTTGCCTTGCAGAAGTAGCACACTTCAAGCATCATTTTATCATTCTTGAGTTATTTCAGGTCCAAAATTGCTTATCTAATCTTTTTCAAGTAACGGGCAACGGCAATATCACAAATAGCAGGGCGATCGGGAATACCGGGGCGGCAAGGAAACAAACCCTGTGACGGGCACCCAGCATGGGCGCCCTTGTCGCGCTTCCACGCAGATGCGGCTGTTGGCACGAAGAACCGTGCGGAAAAATCGCACCCAAATTCACACCATGTTCCAAGCCACAAAGTGATGCCTTTCAAACGTTGAGCCTAGCTTCCTGCCGCGACATTTTCCACACGTTCGGCGCGCAGCAGATGAACCAGACAATCAAAGAAGCGACGTGATGACAAGGATTCGTCAGGAAAACTTGCGCATACACATACTACCACCTGATGGCATTGCTCATACCATTTTGTGACGTCAACGTACAATAGGAACATAAACTAGCTTTTGATCTCCTGATGTAATTATTTTTCAGGGCACACTCACGCTTACCGGTACGTTTTCTACGCTCTCAGGTGCATGGCCTATCATTTCAAGCAAAACAAAAACGCTGAGTAGAAATTTCGTGTCTGTACCCCTTTAATATGTCAGCTTCCATAACACAACACACACAATGATCCAGTGCACGACAACCACATCTGAGCGAATTTGTCACACTTTGAGAGAGTTACGCCACGATTGACACACACGCTAACATCAAGGAGAATAACAAGTCTAGGCACGTGTTTGCATAGTCTGATGCTGCATCTCGAAGAAGTGGTAGTGTTCTTCCCCAAACACTCACATAGGTTGTCACAAGAAGCGGGCATACATATAGGGTGATACACATGGCACATTCAGCAACTTATGGCTTCTTGCTATTTTATTTTGTTTTCTTGGTAAACTTGAGCAAGCCCCTCCACGACAACATGATCGCAGTCGCTCTTCACATGCGTTCATATGCACGTTAAAAACCTAAAATAATATTTTAACTCCTATCACGCATTCAGGAACGTGTGGTCGAAACTTGGTGCACTAATATTTTTAGCACTATAGGGACAGCGAAATTCAATATAAGAAAAATTTTCAGGAGTCTAGCAATAAAAAAGCTTCGAATTTGTTGAAGCTGCGAACATCGTACAGCAACATGGCATCATGAGATGATCATAAGATCACAACATAATCACATGATATTTTTATTGTGTGGCATCATAGAGTTCCAAGAAGCGGATGTACTGCACAAGGCTTAAGAGAATTGATGGCAGCATAGCTGCACGGTTTCCAAAACAGCTCGGTTACAAAGTTAACAGCATTCGCATTTCGAGCACAAAATCTCAGAGCCTGTTTGGCGATGACTTCATCAGTACCACATAATGGCACGGGAAATTTCAAAGCAGCAGTATGCGCAATAGACATGCCTGGAACATTTCAATTCCCAATGACGAGCTCTGATACTATTTTGATTCCTGGTGACGAGCTTTACAGTGCGAATTGCGCCGAACACTTTCACGCTAGATCACAAAGCTTACAAAACGTACAAAGTGGTACATTGTGAATCCACTTCACATGGTGCTACCAAACGTCGATGTTTGGAAGTGGCTCTGTAAATGCACTCTGATGACAAGTTACTATTTTACACAGTCACTGGAAGGGCAGTGGTCTTGTGATACGTCGTCTCAACTTGGCCATGTTGTCTGTGATGAGTTTGTTCTTAGGGTCTAGAGACAGGGCCACTTGGTAGTGTCGAAATGCACTTTTGTAGTCATTCTGGAAAGCAAGGTACAGGTTAACATGTTACCTAAAGGTATGCAGTCGAATGTTCCCGCATGAGACAACCAGTCTTCGAGAACACGTACACTGCTATGAAATGAAACAGAAAATAGTGCGTGATAGGCTGCTGAAAGTTTAAATAGATATGAGCATTGCTAAAGCATAAATAAATCGCCTGTGAAAGAGCACAGATAAGCCTTCCGTCATGCGTGCTCACCTCCAAGTGTCTGATCACAGCAAGGTTCAGATGAGCATGAGCGAGATCAGGATCCAGGCGGATGGCCACTTCGTAACTCTGAAAACAGAAAATAAAATTGTCCTCTGAAACGTTTACTTCTTTTTCATATATGTTATTATTCAATTGGCAATAGATAGATAGTGTGATAATAAGTGAGTTACAAGCCAGGTCTTGAATATCAATACTTCTCCATCAGCCTCTGGGAAAATGTATAAGGAAAGTGTCGTTTCTTCAATATTTATTCCCCATTTGCTTCACGCATATGCAAAGGACACTTTTCGGTAATGTTTGCTTCTTTATTATGAAAACCTACTTATGCATAGTAAACAAGGTACGGTACTGAGTGTACTGTGAAAGATGCGTCTTATGGAGCATGTATTTTTGGGGAAACTATAGTGCTATTGTTCTAACAGTTGAGAATTGTGTGACTAGTAATAAAAATTCCTACGCAATGATTCTGCGTACGAATATTTATTTATGCAATTTTCTTATTTCAACCTAATGTAAGTGTTGTAACTGTCATAGAATTGTTTTTCTGCTGACCCGCAGGTCGCGGGTTCGATTCTCGGCTGCGGCGGCTGCATTTCCGATGGAGGCGAAAATGTTGTAGGCCCGTGTACTCAGATTTGGGTGCACGTTAAAGAACCCCAGGTGGTCAAAATTTCCGGAGCCCTCCACTACGGCGTCTCTCATATTCAAATGGTGGTTTTGGGACGTTAAACCCCACAAATCAATCAATTGTTTTTCTTTTTGTGTAAAACACCGGCATACTCATCATGATTTGATTTCAGTAAACACATACTACTGTAAGCTGAGGTTTCTTTTTGTGATTATTTTCTCTCACTGTGTCTATAGGCACGTACGCAATCTACCTGATAGGAAAATATCGGAAAATGAGCGCCGTATGATAATGCTTCAAAGACTACACCAAATGTAATGAACAATCTTATACAAGAGAAAGAATACACCCAGAATTTGTGAACGTGAATTATCCGTGCCATATACAATCGTGCGTGAAAATTCGTTTTCCCTATTTTAACAAAGAATACCATATTGCATGAAACAACCTGCGCTGATGAGTGAAGGTCACCCAGGTCCTTGAGAATGTCACCGTGGTCGCTGTGAATTCTTGCACACAGCCGCTCATCAACGTCACAGAGCTTCAGAGCCTTCAATATGTAATCCAATGCCTGCAACGAAAGGAAGCATTGCAAAACGATCTGTTCTGAAATCTGTTTAATAATGGACATAGGCCTCGAAGGGATCAACAGTTCGATTATTCAGTTATTTTACTCAAATATAAATCAAGGATTCCCTGAGGAGGCACGGCGTAAAGTTCCATAATTCTCAAACTAGGTCATGTCAGCATGACATCAACGGCAGCGTATCTGCGCATGTGGGCCATGAAACATAAGAAAATATGTTAACCATGCAAAAAAAATAACGTTTGTATTTGACACAAAACTTACACTTCTGTATCAGATAATAAAGAGGTACATGCTAGTAGCGATAGAAGAGCTAAAGGAGCGACAGCTGTAGGCCCAGTAGTTATGCAGACAAATTTCATTCTCACATATATTAGCATATTTTTATTAAGAAAATGAAGAGACCTAAATAAATTTATGTAGTGTAGTAAAGCTGTGCGTGTACGATCCACGAGAAATCGGGCAATTCAGGTCTTTTTTCATTTGTTCGAATTTTTGTTGGTGAGTGCAGACCCTGTGGAATTCAATACAACCATAAGTACTAACAACTAAAATTATTTCAAATTCTTACTTGACGATTCACATGAATCACATGTCGATTCAAAAGCTGCATCGGAAACATCACCACTTCCATTCCCTCCTGTATGTGTTGGATATTCTAAAAAAATTCACTTTTTTTTTGCAGAACTAATTCCCGGAGTACAACCTTCTCTTCGATGTCAATTTCACTTTGCAGTGATGTCAATTTGTGATGTCAATTTCACTTTGCTAATTACAAACTCGTACGAGGAGAATACTAATCCTTCAAATTTTTGTTAAACAGTTGAGCATCCCGATGAATGACATTCGTACAGGAAATGCAGCATACACCACAACACGTTACACAAACATTGAAAAAGCAGAAGAGCCAGTGTGAACACTCCTAAAAAGGCAAGAATCACTGGGAATAAAATCAGATGTAGGGTAAAAGCATATCAACAGGCAACTTCGTTTTTATGTGAAGACTGAAACGCCTTTTTTGCACAAAAGATATCCAGAAATTCTACGGAAGCCAACCATTACCTCGACTGTACGGTTGATGTGGTTGTACAACAGGGCAGCCGTGTGCAAAGCCCCTCTGTCGGTGCTGTTGTTCTCGATAACTTCTAGAAGGAGGTCCTCTGCTGCTCGAAAAGTTCGGAGCCGAATCAGAAGCTGAGCCTAAAAATGAAGATCAAATAAAACATCAGAGCATGCTTTTCTGTAAATTATAACGTAAAGTAAGAATGATGCATTAGTTCAGAGTAATTACGATGGAATACAGAGATATTATTCACACAAAAAGAGCATATTCTGCCTACCTGCACAAGCTCAGCGACACAAAAACTATTATATATATATATATATATATATATATATATATATATATATATATATATATGTGTGTGTGAGGGAAAGAAGTGTATACCTAAGGGCTCGTTTTTCCGTGTTTTAACACAATATAATGAGATCAAACAGACAGTAATGCCAAGGAATGTACAGGGAAAGTTATTAGAACCAATTGAATGTAAATAAGAAAGAAAAGTGGATGAAAAATCAACCAGCCGTGAGCACGAATCGAACCTACGACCTTCGAATAACGCGTTCGATGCTCTAACCACTGAGCTACCACAGCGGCCTTCCCTCCATCCACTTTTTTTGGGTTTATATGTGAATTAAGAAGTAGGAGTGACAGTCAGCGCCATCTATAAGCCAAATGACGAGTGTGAAAACACTCTTATTCGCATGTTTGGCGTCACGTAGCACGTGAACTTATTATGAGTGGGCAGCTGATTAATTGTTCCTCTTATACAACCTAAACACACCAAGTCTGCCATTACGAGACCCTCGTTCAATGAAATAAGGGAAAGAAGTGTACACCTAAGGGCTCGTTTTTCCGTGTTTTAACACAATATTAATGAGATCTAACAGAGAGTAATGCCAAGGAATGTACAGGGGAAGTTATTAGAACCAATGAAATGTAAATAAGAAAGAAAAGTGGATGACAAAACAACCAGCTGTGAGCAGGAATCGAACCTACGACCTTCGAATAACGCGTTCGATGCTCTAACCACTGAGCTACCACAGCGGCCTTCCCTCCATCCACTTTTTTTTGGGGGGTTCATATGTGAATTTAGAAGTAGGAGTGACAGTCAGCGCCATCTATAAGCCAAACGACGAGTGTGAAAACACTCTTATGCGCATGTTTGGCGTCACGTAGCACATGAACTTATTATGAGCGGGCAGCTTATATCTTTCTTATTTCTTATTTCTTTTCTTTCTTATTTACATTCCATTGGTTCTAAAAACTTCCCCTGTACATTCCTTGGCATTACTGTCTGTGAGATTTCATTAATAATATATATATATTATTAATGAAATGGGGCACGGCACCGCACCAGAGATGCATGTGTTTCAACCGCTCAATTTGCAGGCCACGATTACCTGGGCTGTCTGCTCCTACCTTGCTGGCACGTGCGCACTGGTCCCCGATGGCACTTCACCGGCTTGGCCTGCGTCTGCATTTTTCGTGCCGACGCTGAACAAGCAAATCTGGACGCACATCTGGCCGCTAGGGGCATCGACGACTACGCCTGACGGAACCGGCTCAGCATATCTAAGGGAATCACCAGCAGATCACCTCGGGCACGGCACCGCACCAGAGATGCATGTGTTTCAACCGCTCAATTTGCAGGCCACGATTACCTGGGCTGTCTGCTCCTACCTTGCTGGCACGTGCGCACTGGTCCCCGATGGCACTTCACCGGCTTGGCCTGCGTCTGCATTTTTCGTGCCGACGCTGAACAAGCAAATCTGGACGCACATCTGGCCGCTAGGGGCATCGACGACTACGCCTGACGGAACCGGCTCAGCATATCTAAGGGAATCACCAGCAGATCACCTCGGGCACGGCACCGCACCAGAGATGCATGTGTTTCAACCGCTCAATTTGCAGGTCAGTGACTACAAATACGCCGTCTGTGTTAGGAGTAGCAATTACTGTTTGATTGCGGTGTCGTGCCCAGCCGAATGGTGTGATGCTTTGAAACGATCTTTGTCACGAATATCTCGTTTCTGTCTGGTAATCTTTGATATGCTGCTCATGCTGTCGGGTGATATTGAATCGAACCCAGGGCCTATGAGCAAGATCGAGTCTGAGGCTTTCGCCGCAGCTATGTTAACCATACAGAAATTAGAGGAAGGGCATGCAGCCTTGTCAGCGCAATTAAGCAAGACCATTGAAAAACTGACGGCTTCTACGAACGAAGTGGCTCGTTTGACTGAACGCATTTTAGCGCTTGAATCATCTGTCGCGTCACGTTCGGCAACTGGTACCGGTACGCCTAATAACTCCCTGCACCAAATTTCGGATCATTTGACCGAGATTACGTCCAGGTGTAACGATACCGAAAACAGACAGAGGCGGTCTAACTTGCTTTTTTTTGGAATAAAAGATGACCCTAAGGAGGGATGGGCAGCATCTGAAAAAAGAATAATCGAATTCTGCTCCGAAAAATTCAACATTTCTTTGACTGGCGCACAATTCGAGCGTGTGCACAGGCTGGGGAAATTCAGAGACAGCAAACAGAGACCTATAATAGCCAAACTGACTTTCTTTAAAGATAAGCAGCAAATTCTTGCGTCAGCTCCAAAACTAAAAGGGTCAAAATATTCTATCGGAGAAGATTTTTCTCTAGCTACGCGACAGGCACGAAAAAGCCTAATTGAATTCGCTAAAACGCAAAGAAAACCGTTTAAGCTCTCAGTTGACAGGCTACGCATGGATGGCAAAACCTACATACTTGATCATGCCAGCAAAACCGTTATTCTATCAGAAAGATAGCTCGCAACCAAAACATGTCCACCTAAACACCACCAGAAACCTAAATCACATTTGGCGACCCCTTCTTTTCTGATATCATTTACTAACATTAGAAGCATAATACCCAAGCGCGATACAATCTGCTCTTTTCTGGAAGACAACAATTCAGATATACTCGTGCTCACGGAAACTTGGCTATACCCTGCAATCACAAATAACGAAGTTCTTGCTGGCAGTGAAAGATATAACATATACCGCAAAGATCGCGTCGACAGGAGAGGTGGTGGTGTACTTCTTGGTGTAAAAAATACAATCTCTTCGTATGTACTAAATCTTGACTCACCCATTGAAATAATTTGGATAATGTGTGTGACTAAACACGCTAAAATTCTGGTTGGCATTTGTTACCGTCCGCCTGATTATAATAACACATTTGTACGTGATCTTCGTCATAGCATCAAAAATGCCAAAGATCTTTGCCCTACTGGTGTAGTTTACCTATTCGATGACTTCAACCTCCCGCTGATTGATTGGACAAACTTCTCATCACCATGCTGCCTTTCCACAGAATTCATTAACTTAGTCTTGGACTTTAACCTCTCGCAAGTCATTGATCAACCAACCCGTGGTTTAAATACGTTAGACCTATTACTAACTAATGCTCCTGATTCAGTGAGGACAGTCTCTTGCCTAAGGGCTTCAGTGATCACAATTTAATCGAGGTAACGTTGGACTTACCTGTACCATTTGCAGGAATATCCAAAAAGAAAATTCGGGACTACAGCAAAGCAGAGTTTGACAAAATAAGTGCACAGCTCGAAGAATTTTTTAGCAATGTCCTCTTTCCGTCATTCTACAACAGGTCTGTAAATGAAAACTGGGTGCTTTTTAGAGACAAGATGTCTTCATTGATAAACCAATATATCCCTGTTATCACTGTTTCTAATGATCTATCTAATCCCTGGTTCACTAAATCCCTCCGTAAGCAAAGAAACAAGAAAAAACGCCTGTACTGCAATGCCAAACGCAGTGCTACGCCCTCCGCTTGGGAAAAATACAAGCAGTACTTGACTGACTACTGTAAAGCAATATGCAACGCCAAAGAAAAATATTTTCACAACGACCTACCTTCTCTTCTGCAAAATAATCCAAAGAAATTCTGGCGCCTCATATCCCCTGACCACGGTTCCAACCAGTTGTCATTACTTAATGAAAACAACATTCCGCTTTCAGACTACGAGTGCTCCACTACTTTTAATACCTTTTTTCATCTGTATTTAGCCAAGAAGATTCTTCTGACGTACCACATATCCCTGATTACAACTTCCAATACATGCAGCCTATTGAAATTACGGTGGAGGGTATCGCGTGTCGAATTAAACAGATTAAGGCATCCTCATCAGCTGGTATAGATGATATCAACTCTAAGGTAATTAAAAATACTGTTTCCATATCTAGCATTACATTATACCACATTTTTCGACAGTCGCTATCGTCTGGAAAACTTCCAGACGACTGGAAAATAGCCAAAGTAGTACCCATTTTTAAATCCGGAGATAAGAACTCACCTAAAAATTATCGCCCAATCTCGCTCACATGCATATGTTGCAAACTCCTCGAACACATAATCGCCTCCCACGTATACAGTCACCTCGAGACTAACAAATTCTTCTTTTCAAACCAGCACGGATTCAGAAAGGGCATGTCATGCGAAACACAGTTACTAGAATTCACTACAGACATTCATTACAACATAAATAATGGCCTACAGACTGATTGCATATTTCTTGATTTCGCCAAAGCATTCGATCGTGTCGCCCATTGTCGCCTTATTTCAAAATTATCTGCCCTCCGATTAGACTCCCTCACTTTATCTTGGCTACGCAATTTTCTGTCACTTCGCAAGCAGTTCACAATCGTTAATAATTCTTCCTCTCCCTCTTCGTATGTCTCTTCTGGCGTCCCACAGGGGAGCGTTCTTGGCCCATTACTTTTTCTTATCTACATCAACGACCTCCCAACTAACATATCATCGCATATCAGAATCTTCGCTGATGACTGCATGCTCTACAGACCTATAAACTGTCCTAACGATCACTCCATCCTTCAAGATGATCTGAACACTATTTCTAACTGGTGCAGCACTTGGCTTATGAGGTTGAATACTAATAAGTGTAAAGTTGTTTCTTTTGGACGTAAACAGGTCATATCTAACTTCACTTACCATATGCAATGTGACAGGCTCTCCACGGCGACTTCTTACAAGTATCTTGGCATCCACCTTACACCAGGGCTTTCCTGGTTTGATCACATCACTAACGTTTGTGCAAAAGCCTCCAAAACATTGGGGTATTTACGC